GGAGTGGCAAGCAGAGAAGACCGCAGCAGCTGCAGCAAAGCCCCAGGAGGTGCTGCATCTGCAGCTGCTGCTTCTTGCTCCCACAGCTTCAGCACGAGCTGCTGCTGCTGCGCCTCCTGCAGCAGCAGCAGCTTGTCAGTTAAAGGAGGCAGCAGCTTCAGCAGCAGCATAGGCGACTGCAGCAGCAGCAGCAGCGGGGCTTTCGCTAGTTTCTGCTGCGGCTCTTCCAATAATTTTACCACCACGTCGTTTGTGCTGCTGCTGCTGCTGCTGCTGCTGTTTTCGGAGCAGCAACACAAGTCCAGGTGCAGGGAGTCAGCGCGAAGCGCAAGGTGCAGCAAAAGCCAAATGGAGACAGCAGCAGCAGCAGCAGCAGCAGCATTCGCCTCCACGACGTTGCTGTTCTTGCTGCTGCTGCTCCTGTTCTGGCAGCCACTGGTGTTCTGGCTGCTGCTGCTGCTGCTGCTGCTGCCAGGCTGTTCAGATGCAGAGAACAAAGCAGCAGGAGACAGCAGCAGCAGCGTCATCAGCGGCGGGCACAGAGCGTGCTGCGCTCGCCTGCTTTGCTGTTGACGCTGCTGCACCTGCTGCAGCAGCTCCTCCTCGTGCGTGCTGCTGCTGCTGCTGCTGCAGCTGTTCTCGTCGCCTACTGCATTGGCAGCTGCTGCAGCAGTCTCCAGAGGTGGAAGAGCACCAGCAACAGCGGCACTCGCTGTTGCTGCTGCTGCTTCTGTTGCTGCTGCTGCAAGAGGGTCACTACGCGCAGCTGCGCTGCGGGGCAGGCACTGCAGCAGGCATTTGATTTGCTGCTGAAGGCTGTGCTGCTGGCGCAGCTGCAGCAGCTTGCTGCAGCAGCAACACAGCAGCAGCAGCAGAGGCAACAAGGCCTCCAGCTGCAGCAACTGTCCTTCCTCTCGTGCTGCTAAGCAGCGCTGCAGCAGCGCGGAGTATGGAGCCTCTGCTTCTACTGCTGCAGTTCCTGCTGCTGTTGCTGCTGCTGCTGCTGCTGTCAAAGAGCTGCGGTACATATGCAGCGCTGGCAGTGCAAACGGGAGGCCGCAACCCCTGCAGTTTGAAATTGCTGTTGCTGCTGCTGCTGCTGCTGCTGTTGCTGCTGTTGTAGATTCAAAGTCAACTGAAACGCCGCATGCAGCGCAAGGGGGCAGGAGCTGCAAGCCTGCTGCTGCTGCTGCTGCCGAGGCAGCTTGTGCTGCTGCGACTGTCGCTGCAGCAGGACGTGTAGCAGCTGCAGCGCTGTGAAGCGAAGGACTATCAGTAAAGACTGGCGTTGCTGCTGCTGCTGCTGCTGCTGCTGCAGGGCGCAGCAGCAAGATGTCCCGCATCTCCTCCTTCGAGACCAGCGGCGAACTGCTGCTGCTGCTGCTATTGCTGCTGCTGCTCCTGCTTCGTGCTGCAGCAGCCAGTAGCAAAAGCGGCAGCAGCTGACCTGTGGCTTCCTCTAGCGCAGCAGCAGAAACGCCAGGAGACAGCAACAGAGCCCTGAAAAGCAGACGGCACCCCGAGCAGCAGCAGCAGCAGCAGCAGCAGCAGCATCACATATTCAATTCAATCAGACGCTAAGAACTGCAGACAGAGCAGCTGAAGGCAACAGATCTGCCTCCTAACGGGACGCACCTTATAAACGCAGCCAGCTTGTCGCTGCTGCTGCTGCTGCTGCTGCTGCTGTCAGTTCCTTGGCCGTTACGCGAAGCGGAAGCAGCCGAGACGCTGCAGTCGCTGTTGTAGCTGCTGCTGCTGCTGCTGCTGCTG